GGACCATTTTTTTGACACTTTAATAATCAAAATCGGTCCAAAAATGAGGGAGGAGTTCTGTTTACAAAAATCGGCTCAGCGTGTTATATATATAGATTTTTGCTAGTTTCTTAAATTATTTCTTCACACAACCATAAAGTTGTACTTGTGTTGAATATTATTGTGCATTATTATTGTGGTGAATAGTGGTAGGCCTAATAGATTATAGTGTGCTGATAAATAGTGTTCCGTACCGGGGACCGAAATGTTTTTACATGTCTCGATCGTTTTAAGTTCTCGTCTTCGTCCCAAACTTAAAATATATCTCGAGCCGGCAAAACCTAATTTTCCGCCCTAGGTACGAAATATACTATTTCGCTACACTACTATAAAATGACCTGTGTTCTTTAGATGTCTATAACCTGCGAAAATTCATCTTTACATTGTTTACAACGAAAAACAATGTAAACCATGCGAAACTAATGTCTACTATCTTTTTTGGGTTTGTCGACGTAATAAATAAAGATTTGTAGGTAACTGTTTGTCAACTGTTTAAATATTAAACAACCAAAGTAAATATTCACTTCGAATTGAAAGCATAACCTAAAAAAATGGTATGAGTGTTGTAATGTTCCCAGCTACTATAAAGAAATAACTGGAAGTGGGAGGGTTACGGATGTATTGGCCAGTCAGTGAGGGAGGGTTTTGACTTTAAAGGAAATATACTGTAAATAACAACAAACAGAATATGTTTCAAATAATTTTTATTACCTATTCAGTTATAATAAATATTTGGTGGTCTACAGTGACACCATTAGTTTAATTCTTTCTGGACTACGTGGATATGAAATGTAACTACAGAGAAGTAAAATGTAACTAAGAAACCTAAGTGCGTAAAACACTAAAACCTACAATGTAAGTTACAGCAGTAAAGTGGTCAACTGTGACACTAATTGTTCAATTCTATCTGTACTACATGGCCACCAAATGTAACTAAGAAACCAAAGTGAGTCGTACACTAAAACCTACGATGTTAGTTACAGCAGTGAAGTGTTCCTCATGACACTAATGGTTCCATTCTTTCTGTACTACATGGCCACCAAATGTAACTAAGAAACCAAGATGTGTCGTACACTAAAACCTACGATGTTAGTTACAGCAGTGAAGTGTTCCTCATGACACTAATGGTTCCATTCTTTCAGTACTACATGGCCATTAGAAATCTCTGTCATTCATTAGAAATCTTTTGTTATATAGTAGAAACTTTGACATATATAGTAGAAATTATACATCATTACCTTACTAATATCCAAAATTGTCATCATTAAATACTAGCTGTTACCCACGGGCTTCACCCCGTTTGGCTTTATAAGTATTAATAAAACTATTGATTGGTTAAGTTTAGCTGAAATAAACAAAGCAGAATACAGTTATACAAACAAATAAGCACACCTGGTTTTAATACGTTAATAAATTGAAAGAATCCTACTAATCCTACTAATATTATAAATGAGAAAGTTTGGATGTATGGATGTATGTTTGTGACAAGTAAACGCGAAGAATACTGGTCAGATCGGGCTGAAATTTGGTGTGATGATTTGGTGACATTCCCGATTAAAATATAGACACATTCTTATCTCAAAAGTCCTTTCGGACTCCGCCTCAGTGGCTCTGGAGTTTTCCATGTTAACCTTATGAGTAATCATATTTAAAGAAAGTTGTCAGCTGTTTCAATTATACAAGTTGGTTCTATGATTTAAATAGCAGTAAAACGTTATAAGGCTTAATAACAGGGTGCAGCACTATTATATTTTTTGCATTTATGACAACAGCTAATTAGAACCAACTAGCAACAAAATGTTGTGGTACACAATTAGAACTTTAATTTTTTCTATGATTTAGTTACAGTGATATAACATAAGGGCTATGGTAGATGTGAGCTATACTATAGGATACCGTATAAATTAAAAGACCAAATTTTCTTAACCCGTGTCCTCTCCCATAACTGCAATAAGCATTTTATACTTATATGCCAGCCCCGTACGAAGGACGGGTACTCTGCTAGTAAAATAATATAAATAAGTACAGCTGAGGTATTTTTAACATTAGGTATATGGAAAGTTCCCTTTAGAAAGAAATTACGACCTTAAAGGGCAATTTATGAAATACTGGATTGTTGGGGCAGACTTTAGACACATATCTCGGCACGAACTGCAACTAACCTCCAGCGGTCATGTATCACCATAGATAAAAGGAGTAGACTCCTTTTATCCTGTCTATACTCCTTTTATCTATGGTATCACTAAAGCTGCCATATCTCAGTTAATATTCGTCTAATCCTAACAAATAAGGTGTCAATCGATTTGTAAATAAATTGCCTAAAAAAAGGTATTCTTATAAAATATTTTGTCAAAACAACGGTTTTTAAGTTATTAAAGAAAAAAAAATTAAATGGTCGCCATTTTGTTTTGTGAATTTGAAATATTTTCCTATTTTTTTGTAGCTTTATCTAGTTATCATAAATGTTTGTGAAAAGTTTAAATTTCCTACGTCGAACCATTATGAAGGAAAAAATTAATTAGTGAAAATAACAAAATGGCGGCTATGTGAGTAACTAATGACTTCCGGACAATTTAAATATGATATTTAGATGTAATTTCTACCCAGGAACAATGCCCTAAAATATTGGTAGGGAGTTGTAATGCTTCATAATGTAAAATATATTTAGTTTTGTCATTTAAATTTGGTATTAATTTGCTATTCATTTTCTCTGGCGCTAATGGATAGTCATTATGTCGATCATGTAACGATTTATTATATTTAAAATCAACTTCTAAAATGCATCCAAACTCAATTTTGATTATTTTTCTAGTCTATCTCATTCGTCCAACAAAATCCATCCACGGACAGTGGCTCGCACATTGGTGTGGAGTAATAGCGAGTTGATCTAAAAATATTAAATACACACTCTCTTGATTGGGGTCATAGTTTTCACCCATGTATCTATTATTGGATTTTGCATAACGCGTGAAAATCATACTAACCCCTCTAATTGCTCGCAAACGCAAACGAATGATAGAATAAATATAATTAATTTCCACTTGATAAATAGCAAACTATCTTTATATTATGGTTATTAGAAAGGATTTATTTCTATTTCACACTCATTGTAAAACTTACAACTAATTGTTCCGGAACAATATTACTTGTTAAAATTTTTTTAAATGTTGATAAATATAAAACATTTACTACAGAGGCACACAAATAAATTGATAAATAATGAAAACATGATAATTCGTAGAGATTCGAACATACACACGATTTTTGTGTTCAAATTTCACAAACCGAGTCGGAGTCACAAACGTAACAAATAAAAACATTTTTCATCACTCCTTAACGAAAGTAACTATTTTCGATAACAGCTGACATCAATGAAAGTAGTCGTTTCCCAAGCTCTAATTTAGGGCGAGGGAAAATCGATCAGCTGATTTTCCCTCGCTCTAAATTTACTTTCCCTCGCTCTCAATTAGTTCTCCATTTTATTCACTACGCGCCCTAGTGTTTTGTTACGGTTTAATTTAATGATTTTAATCAGCTGTATGTATTTTTAAAAGTTGTGTTATTATTTTATTTTGATGTTTGAACAAAATTTATTGAGAAATATACGTAGGTTTCTTTTTAGAAGATTTTATTTTATTTTGGTGTTCAATCAAATTTATTGAGAAATAAAATTTTTTTAATATTACTGAGGTCTGCTATTCTGTGTTTGTGTATTTTTGCGTCGTGATGAAAAGTATCGTTCATAACTCGTACCGAAAGTTACTATCCGGCACTTGCTCCATTATTCCCGTCCTCGGCTTCGCCTCGTACGTGAAAATAGCTCTCACAAACTCGGCTTCGCCTCGCACGTGAAATTGGGGTTCCCTGTGTTCGGCTTCGCCTCACACAAAAACTTGAGCGCGCAACGGAAAATGCCACTTTCGGTCCTAGTAATAAAATATACTATTTTAAGGCCACGATTAAATTTTATATTTTTTTATTAACCAGCTCATACTTCTTTTGCTCAAGTATGTTTGATCCATCCTTATTCAAATTATGTAGTTCTAAGAACATTGTTGATAGTTAAAATTGTTTTAGACCATAATAAAGAAGCTTCAAATTGCAGTTATCAAAATAGTATAGGCCTAAACTCAATGTATTGTGACCTGCAGAAAGAACCAACAGTTTTGACAAAAACAATAAATTGATTTGTGTTTCGTGTAATGGTTTCTTGAATGCGTGCTAAATAATTAATTCGTGCTTATCGTAGTCCGTTGCGATGTTACTGTACTTCGTTTACTTGCTTTCTTTACATCTTGCCAACTCATAAAGATTATCGAGGTTTCTCTGAATATGACTTTTGTAATTAAGAATTTATGGTAGTAACGTTTCAAACGATTTTGCCAATCAGTAGGTTTTGTTTGTATTCTTTTTAGCCGTTAGCCTTTTACTACATTAATTTACCTTCATTCAGGTACAAACCTGACCATTAAGAAAGACATTAAGATGATTAGCTCAGTTATTACTGTTATTGTTAGGGTTGTTTTTGCCAGTCTCTAATTGAAATTACTACTTTCCTGAAGTTAGAGTCATCTTCAATTATTTATTTTATGTCAACAAAAGTGATGTTCATACCATAAATGACACTAAGTTCTTTCCTTAACGGAACATTGTCTTACAATATCTGTGTAGTTCTTGGGTGAATGTTTTTCCCCAGTATCAAATTCGTATAGGATAGACATAAGTTAGTTAATCTCCTGTGACGTTGTATAATATTCCAAGGACAGAATCTTTAGAGCTAGTGTAGTCAAGTGTTAATATCTGGACGTCAACTTTATAAACTCAAAGCGATAATCTGGAAAAGTTATTTTTCAAAACTTAATTTTAGGAGTTAGTCACAATTTACATAGTAGATAGTAACCGTATCAGTAGAGTAACTTTAATTATTTTGGTGTTTCAAAACCTACTAAGTTAATGACGTCATGACCGGCCTCGGCCTCCTCGATTACAATATCCGGTTAATGAGGACCATTGGACTCTGGCCTCTAGACAGGCCCTCAAAGCCTCTTCTAGTGGTCAACTATGTCTACACGACTCTCCTGGTGTCCTCTCTGGCTGTTGTCTCTGTTTGTCAGATCGTAGAGATATTCTTTTCTCCCAACATCGCTGCCATGGCTTCTGCCATAGATCTAGCCACTCTCACCGCATCTGCACTATTTAAGATGATATACATCCAGTACTACCACCATCATTTCCAAAGATTGGTGGATAAAGTAGATGCTACTTTTGTTGAACGAGATTCCTTCGATGGATCGTTCTGCATATTCAATTGGGTGAAATACTCAAAGATTGTGATAATCGCTTACGTGACCTTAGGTGGCCCAACTCTTTTCGTCGTGGGAGCAATCTTCCCTTACATAATTCCCCAACACTTTCAGAGATACCAGACCGACGTAGAAGACTACAAATATCTGGCTCACCCCTACAGGAAGAGAATGTTCCCTTTTAACTGTTGGTTCCCGTTCGATGTCACTTGGTCACCACTTTACGAAATTGTCTACGTGTTCGAGACTTTGTCTTTGGTGGCCTCGGGACAAATATATCTCGTTAGTGACTCGTTGTTCTTTATGATCATCTATTTAGTATGTGGGCAGCTGGAGCTCATGAAGAGATCTTACAAATCAATGGAAGATAATGTGGCACCGAACACAATGGTACATTACCTTACAGAAGATGGCTATGAGGATTCTACCGGTGAGTATTGAACCTACATAACTGATTACTTCCGTTAAATATTTAACAAGCATGAAGTTAGGAAAACTAAACAATGAAGAATTCCTTAAACCTAATCACGTACCCTTACAAAATTCACTTTAATTGATGTTTGACCTCTTCCAACCACCGGTTACTTTTAGTGCTTGACTGTTTAACCTACATCGAAAACATTGTAGACGTTTTAAATTTAATCCCATTGATGTTGTAATCGAGTTGTAAGAAGAGTAGTGGTAACGTTACGATTTTGTATTTCATTTTAAGCCTAAAAATAACCATCGGAGATTTGTTCGTCTCATACATTTAAAATGAGCATAAAACTTATATTTTTTTAAATTAAATGGAAATTTTCTTTGTTAGGATGAATATTAACGCTTCGAGTCTGAGATAATGAAATAAGTATAGACCTATACATTAGAATTGCAATGTTATTGTTTCATGATTATAATGCTGCTATTTTTCAGCAATATCTCTTATATCTCCACATATTTTGGGAACCAAATTAAATGAAATGGAAAAAGAAGCAGCTACTAAACGAAATGTAAAGTCTTACGTTGATTTTCATTGCAAACTTATTGAGTAAGTATCAATAATATTTTTTTATACAGCCGTCTGTTTAAATACCACTAGTGTATCTGTTGCTCGAATTCGAGCAATTGCGAAGCATTACAGGTGACTCAAAGATTATGGAAATACTCACGATCTACACAACAGTTAGATATAATCAAAATCTTTTGTAAATATCTTATCTTTTTTTCAAAAAGCTGATCTTGTTTTTTTAGTGTTTTTAGTGTAAAAAAACATTATTTCTATTTCTTTTGCTTGGTTGTGTTCCATGACTTTTTCTATGTTTCCATTGTTTGCAAATAAGTTATTTCAATGATTGCTCAAGAAATGTAGCACACTGTTAATTCAGTTTCATTTTTAGCCTATATCAAATTGTCCAGGATTTTTCGCTCTTTTCCATTGTAATTAATACACCAACCCAAGTTTCGTCTACATATGCAATATGCCAAAGAATATCACCTACGTACAATCTCCAAGAAGTGGTAAAAAAAGGCAGAAACCTACCCATACAATAGATATAAGTTAACTCCATAAGAAATAATTTTAAAAGTTACTGTGATTAGGATTTTCCACTGATTTGGTAATAGAACATTATATTGCAAAACATGACACGATGCAGAACAAAATCAATTTTAAAATCAGAAAAATCCATTGCAAATACTGTACTTCATTTTGACAAATTCAATAAATCACAATTTAAATATTAACAGCTGTTGCATTAAAAAGTAGTGAAGAATTATGCATATGGTCGTAATGTAAACAAATCTGAAGAGGCAACTTCAAAGGCTTCTGGGGCAGAGCCCCAAGGGAATTTACCTCTTTCCTCTTTTGATGGCTCATCTACAGACCCCTACCAAGTTTCTACACCAAGCCGTTCTCTCAAATTAGCTGTGACAAAAACCTTGTTTTCCTCCATAAGAATAACATGGGATGGGAATTTTAAGGCCACGGGGGCAGAGCCCCAAGGGAATTCACCATGTTTCTCTTTTGATGGTTCATCTACAGACCAAGACCTTTCTTTAGACACCTCTACTGAGTTTCTACGCCCAGCCGTTCTCTCAAAATAGCTGTGACAAAGAAAAACAGTTTCAAATTAATATATAGATTAAAAATGTATGTGTCTGTATGTTTTTGTCTGTTATCGATTCAGCAAAATTAAATCTCTAGATTTAGTAATTTTTTACATTGAAAGTTTTCTGGGTTTTTTATTACAAAGTGCTCTGCTTCCGTAGTCTTTCAAAGTTACCATGTTCAGATTTTTATGAACTTTTGATTCGTTTCTATTGAAAAAGTATGTTAATGGCTACAACAGGATTACTATAAGTATATCGTTTTGAAACATGTTTCAGAGGCAATTAAAACTCTATAATTTGTGATAAGCAAATATATTATGATTAAACACAATGGTTGGTGGGGAGTAAAGTATATACACAGTCCTTGGAAAAAACGTGAATGCGATGAAAACCCCCTTTACTAAAATAATACCATCGTATTATTAGATCATTACAATTTTATTTTTATCTTTTTGTTTATTGTATCCAGTTTAATTACACATGATCCAAAACCATTATGGTTCCTTGTTATTCTCGGCTGATTTGAAAATAATGAATTTCATATTGTGGGTTCCAGGATTATGAAGGATCTAGATACCTTACTTCGGTCGTTGGTGGTGGTAGACTTTATCCATGCGGTGGTTTCGCTTAGTTTTGCAACCTTTCAAGCATTTGTGAGTATACATTTATATGAAAATAAGATTTTTAAAATATTTATGAATGTTTTAACAAGTTTATTTACCAACTCAAATTAGTTTTTATCAGAGGACTGAAAAATCAGAAGACGAATCTCCTATGTTACTCATCTTAAAGAATTGTTATGGAAAATCTAAATATTTCCAAGTAAAACTAAGGTAAAATATAGTATACAGTATCCCTTAAAAAACAGAAAGGAAGTAGTAAGCTATCACGCAAATAACCAACCCTTTATACAAGGGGTCGAATAAACGAATAGACGCAAACCATAATATTAAAAGTTCAAATTGAGTAAATTTAATTCTTTCTTAACAAAGTTTTTCATATTACTACTTTGATGAAAGTTGTATGAACCATTTCGCTATAGGTTAAAATTACATATATGTATTACTACGACTATATGAAATTTTAAATTCTACTAACAATATACCACTTGTTTTTAGACATTAATTACCTGGCCTGAAACATTGCAAATGCTTCTGTTCATTGCTGTTAGTGTGACTCATCAGTTCCTGAACAACTTCTTTGCAGAAATACTCATACAAAAGGTAGGTATCACTCTTTAGTTTATGTTATACATGTATAGAGACACATTTTCTGAATTCCAACGGTTTATTTGCGTTCACAATGTTATTTAGACAATGCAAGAGTCACAAAATCAGTGTTCTCTTTATTCTTAAGATATTAGGATAAATGTATAAAAAAAACTAAATACTTTCTTAGTAGCCTATGTACGACCAACTAAGTGAGTATTTCTTTTGTGATTATTATAGTATTTAGAGCAAATTTGTATGAAAAATAGATGGACTAACCTAAATTTTGAAGTATGTATATTATCTGCAAAGTAGATACTTTTAATTTTAAGCAGACTCAAGTTTACCAATGTTGCCCCAACGTGCAGCAGCTGAGCGTGGCGGAGGCAGTGTACGGCACACCCTGGATGGAGAGCACAAGCCTTCACCAGACATTGGTATACATGACTCTGAACCAGGCAAATCATCCAACTAGAATCAGCGGCTGGAAGATGTATCACTTGGGACTTAGCACGTTTGTGGACGTAAGTGTTGAGATCGGGCGCCTGAGTGTTAGCATTTTATACAGCTTGATACATCGATCAACTTAATATTTTAAACTCTTAATACTATTGTTATTAGAAGATAAATAATCGGCCCCATGCCAGAAAACAACTGTAGAGTCATTCAAAACGATTTCCAAAATATGTATGTAATCTTGCTGAGAGAGTGGTCTTTGTAAAAACCTTGTGTTTTTTGTGGCCATAAAAATAATGGCTGAATTTTTATCCTAGGTTTTACGAGCTGCTGAATTGATCACTTTTGCTCTCTTGTTTGACAGTACTGAACTACTGAAAAAGTAAAAAGAAAGTTTTTAATTACCAATCAATAAACAAATGTAATTATTGTAAACCTGCTAAGTTTTCTTATTGAATATTTAATGTACAGCAATTTACATGTTTTATGATTTTTTTCAGTTTATGAAACTCTTGGGCTCCTACGCCCTTGTGATTCAGTCTCTACAAGTCAACGAAGAGGGGTAGATGCAATACGTTCAAGTGCAAAATTTAAATTCATATTGTATTTTACTTATTTGTAAAGTATTGCGTAAATTAATATTGCATGTTTCTGGGATGAGCACTGGTTTCAAACCAGTAGCCCTACTTTGAGTTTTAACAGCAATGTTGTAACTATTCCAACTCCTTAAGCTAAAAAGATTAACTTAGTTTTTAAAATTTTTAGCTACTTTATAAACCCGTCACTTTCAGTGGACAATGGATATTAAGCTAAAATATCAATTCTAACTTTCTTTCATAGTAATATCAGAGAATATTAGAATAGCTTTACCGAGGCTTAGCAATCGTGTATGGCCATAAAATAAAATACCCCCGCCACAGCAAACCTGCAGACTAAGCGAATTTCAACTCGTCTGATTACATTTTTACTAAAAATATTTCCATAAATAAGACATATTATTCCCTATTTAAATAACATTAGATTTAACGAGTGCTTAGGTTTGCTGCTACGGGGAAGGTAAAAAGTGTTTTTTGACCATACGTTAATAGTATAGGATGAAATAAATAAATTTGCCAAATTTTATCAATATATACCCATAAACAAGTAAACTACAACAATTTTCATTTTCTCCATAAGAATAACATGGGAATTTTTAATTACACTATTTTTGAATTTTCTCCGTGACCGTTAGGCATACAACAGCGCTTCAATATACTAAATTATTTTTTTTTTAAGCTCTACAAAACGGTTTAGAAAGAAATCGCAACATTTTTTGTTTTTAGGCTCAAAAATGGGAAAAACCCATTTATACCCCATAAAACCCCCCATAAACCCCCGTTCCCATGGGGCGATTATGCTGGATCGCATACACGCGATCTAGGTTTACACGTTTGTACCAAATTTTATCAAAATCGGATCATTTTTGCTCGAGTTATCGCGCTAACGGACACATATATATATACTGTATATGAATTTGAACGGATGGTGTTTTTGGCCTCTAGGGACCTCAAAATGAAAAATGAAATCGGTCTCGGGTCCAGGTCTTACCATGAGTACTACGGTAATAGCTTATTATCGCTAAAAGCTAGGATTGTTATATCTTCGTTTATAAACAGTCATAGTTTCAACATTAGTAACATTGCCTGAGAACCGAGCTTTGCTCGGGGAAAATCATTCATTGAGAGCAGTCTTTGGTCAATGCATTTATTAAAATTGTCTTTTGCATTCGAAGACCACAGGCCAAAAACGTGTTAAGTCACACTTTTGATATTTTATAGGAGAGCGTTTTTAGTACTTTAATCTTGTATGGACTTTACTACACTGTCCCTAGGTTTATGAGAAAAATTATACATGGGCTATATTGTATCTGAATATGTTTGCATTGTTTGGAAATTTAAATAAAACTGCATTAATACTAAAAGAAATATTAAAAATATTAACACTATTTACATGTCAAAAACGTGTCAAGTCCATTCTTTACACGCTAAAAGCACAATATTATAGCACGATATAGTTGTGAGACTATGGTTAACCTAATTCCTGTCTATTATTTCTTGTTCTTTTTCTGGCCCTTTTTCCCCATTTTCCTTCTTCTTCTCTTTTTCCTTTTCCACTTTTTTCTCATTTTTCTCCTTTACGTTGCTGTAAACTAGCGTTGTAAAAAATGTCTTCCTTTTCCCCGCAGAACTGTTTTAGTACTTGGAGATCGCCATATTTATCTTAAGAAATTGGCAACAATTCTGAAAACATACAAAAACATTACCTAACTTTATATTTTGCATTGGTGGCCCTAACAAAGTTCCAGTAGCAGGTAACTTACCTTGGTAAGCCTGGTCTGGGTAGAGGAATTCAGTACGTTTTCTGTGGCTTAGATCAGGCACCAGTAGTGTGATGCATGCAATTCGACGTCTGATATCTGAAGAAAACCATGGTCCATGGAAGGTAGGTCTATAAAACACTCTCGTTTCATCTCTTAATACTTTTGCTTCCCGGATGGGACGAGTGGCAAATGGGCACTTTTCTATGAACAGCTATTTCAAAGAAAGTACTCCAATCACGGATCATATATTGTTCTACTGGAATGACCTTGAATGGAGATGGATTTGAACTTGCTGACAGAAAAACGATGTCCCACTTATCTGGTGTCTCAACTGTAGTTTTTTTGTTCACTAAAGATATATTTTTATCACATTCTAAATAAGAATGTCTCCTTGATGGGAATGTTATCAAAACTGCGTCAAATCGTTTGATGTGATGGACCAAGTAGTAGGCCTACAAATATAAAAACAACAGGTAATTTTAATTTTGTCCAGAACAAGAGTCACAAAATATTTCGCATTGGCTGCTCCAGCCAACTGAGGAAATGACTGAGACAGATTGTGCAAGTGACAGAGCGAGACAGGACCAACGATATAAACAACTAAACAACTATTCAGTCCTTATTTACTTATTTATTGTCCTTATTTGCAAATTTAAAATTCTCTTGTTATTTTTACGGAGAATAAAGTTAACAGTTGTAGTTTGCTTGTTCTTGGGTATGTTTATCAAATTTGGCAAATTTATTTATTTCACCCTATACTATTAAAATTTGAACGAAAAAACACTTTTTACCTTCCCCATAGCAGCTAACCTATGTAGGCTACTCGTTAAATCTAATGTTTTTATGGGGAATAAATATGTCTTGTTTATGGTATTATTTTAGAAAAAAATAATTAATTGATTTGTTATTCGCTTAGTCTGCTGGTTCGCTGCAGTAGGGGTATATTTGATTTTATTTTATTTATAAAAGAAGGAGCTATTTACCAATCACATTTAAATTCAAAATCAAAACAGTCTTTGACATAACTTGATCAAAATCATATGAAAATACCATACATATTTGTTAAAACATAAACTTGTTATACTTAGCTTCTACCAATAAAATATAATATATATATTTATTTTAATGGTAGGCATGATTCGTCAGAAATTCATTTTAACGCACATTCGCTTATTGGATTCGTTAAAAAAAGATGTTTTATGTTCCTGTACTGAGGAGAGAATTGTGTGTTTTACATTACTTTAAAAAAGGTAGGGCAATAATCCTGTTTTTATCCTTATATTACTAATCAGTACGTCATATTGGTAGTAACAAGTATGTCAATGATATTATTAAAAAAAATCTATTTAAACACCAATTACTTAACAAGGACTAATAACATCAGTGTTATCAGCGTTCTTAAAGGTTTCAGATTATTTGCGTTTTTATAGTTATTCTAGTTAGAAGACCATAACTAATATGTTTAAACTATTCAACTATTTATAAAAGATTTTTATAAATCCGTCACATAAGATCATTTATACCCAAACAACAATCTCATGTTGGGTGTTATCAAATAAGTACACACCATTCTACATAAGGGAACTATACGAATAGATAGAATGCTAAGAAGGTACATATTCTTTCAAATGGTTTGGGAGGTTGAAGGTAAGTGTTTGGTAAGTATTGGATTTAGGTAATGATGGGTTCATAAAACCCAATATTCTCGGGAAGAAACTCTGCTCCTAATCTTTTGTATGGAGGATCTTCTAGATTATAGTGCTGCACAAAGGGAGACTATTCTGTCGATTATCAGCTCCACGTTATAAAACCCAACCTTTAAACAGGCTGCTTCACAAATGACTGATAGTGTTTAATAATGTCCGTCACCATTATATTCCTATTATTTTATATATCAATGAAATAATTACCTATAAACTACACTATAGTAAAAAAGATAGCTTAATGAACGAAACTTTTTACTCTTCTCCGAACAAAAACACTCAAACAAACTACTTTCCAAAGATCTGCTCAAAGCACAGGAATGTAAGCATCCAGATGGGGGATTTTCAATGTCATTGAAATCAGTCAACATTGATTGAAGATTCCTTGTTAGACTATTTTTATACCTTAAAAAATAATCTAGTACAATGAAGCGTTGTTGTACTCCTGGTGGTACAGTAAAAATTCCCAACATAAATATGATTTGAATTACGTATGTTATTTGTGTGGAGGAAAATCAACTATTGTAGTTTGCTTGTTTGGAATTTATTATTTTGGTCAAATGTGATGTTTTATTTCATACTATGCAACATTGAAATACCCCCCCCCCGCAGCAATCCTGCAGACTAAGCGAATTTCCATTTGCCTGATTTGGATTTACACTAAAATATATCACAATTATTCCCTATTTAAATAGAATTAGTTTAACGAGTACTTAGGTTTGCTGCAACAGGGAGGGTAAAAAAGTGTTTTTGTTGTAAAATGTAAAAAGCTTAGTAAAAAAATTAATGTATTTTCAAAATTACATAAAAATATGTTCATTAACAAGCAAACTACAGCAGTTGAATATTCCCTATAAGAATAACATGGGAATTTTAAATTTACATTTTTTTGAATTTTCTCCGTAACCATTAGGCGCAAAATAACGCTTCAAAATAATAAATTATTTGTTTTTTTAAGCTGTACAAAATGGTTTGGAAAGAAATTGTGAAATTTTGTGTTTTTAGGGTCGAAAATGGGAAAAACCTATTTTTACCCCATAAAACCCCCCATAAACCCCCGTTCCCATGGTCTGATCATGCTGGTTCGCGAACTCGTTCGAATAAACGTAGGTTTACACGTTTGTACCAAGAAATCACTACGAAAATTATGTCCTTTTTGACCTTTTTTTGAACACTCTGTACATTACATAAATGTTACCAAAAATCCAAAACAAAACCAAAATAAGTAAAAAATCCAAACAACCCCAAACAAAATTGCCGCATTTTAGTCATTTTCCCACCGTGCTGAAACATATTGGTAATGGATAACCCGATCGGGTTCTGGTGGTCTGTGTGTAACCCGGCTTATCGTATATTGCATCTACAGTACTGCGCCATGTGCAGCCGAATCACTCTTTGTGATGCCGAGCTGTTTGTATTGCTGTATAAAATACTCCAGCTCCATCAAAAAGTTTAATATTAAACTATTTCTAATTAGTTAAGTTAATATTGTTGATAGGTACATTTATTGAAATTTAATCTTATTTTACTCCTTTTTCATGTCAGATTTCAAAAAGCACTATTTAAACATACATCAACCCCGTACGAAGGACGGGTCCTCTGCTAGTACTATCTATCTATATATTAATAGGCAAGCATGTTTCTTTAAAACCTTTTTTCTCAGCTCGTGTGCATCGTAGGGAAAATCTACGCATACCGTTAGAAAGCTATTTTCCTGTAGGTGTGCAGAATCCCTTTATAAATTAAAATAGGCTCAAAGATAAGCACAAAAAATGAGTTTAAAAATTTGAAAAAATTAACATGGATCATATAGGTTGCTATGCTGGTGACGAAATAACAACGAAATATAAACAGAAAATCAAAACAAATGGAAGAAACTCCAATCACATGTTTTATTTACAGTGTGAGGTTAAAATAGAGAAATCTGTACATTACATATTTTTGGTCGAGTTTCGACCACTGGACGACCTCTAGTTATAAAAAAGAGGTGGTTGCTGTATGTGTGTATGGGAAAAGTAAACTCGAAAAATACTGGTCGGATTGGGCTGAAATTTGGCATGATGATAGCTCACATTCCCGATTAACATATAGGCATATTCTTATTTCAAAAATCCTTTCGGGCTCCGCCCCAGTGGCTCTGGAGTTTCCCATGTTAACCTTATGAGAAATGGAATTATTGAATCTTAACAGCTGTTTCAATTATACAAGTTGGTTCTGTTCTATGATGTTCAATAGCATTAAAGTTACAAGGATTACCAACAGGGTGCAGCACTATTATTTCTTTTACATTTATGACAACAGCTAATTTGCAACCAAAAGGTGAGTGAGCGTAGCGAACGAACTTCAACCTGGAGGCGAGTTAGCGTAGCGAACGAGCTAACCTGAAGGCAAGTGAGCGCAGCGAACGAGCTCCAACCGAAAGGTGAGTGAGCGTAGCGAACGAGCTCCAACCTAAAGGTGAGTGAGCGTAGCGAACAAACTTCAACCAGGACGTGATTGAGCCATGCGAACGAGATAATCTTGAAAATTAAGAAGTTAAACGGGGCAAAGCCCGCGGGTTACAGCTAGTTATAATATAAAAGTAATATCGTAAATCATATATATTGGTGGTTCACACAATACAAAAGGTACAAGTTTTTTCAGAAGTAATTTAAACAGAAAATTATGATAAAGACGATGTTTGTTTCGTTGAACGAAGAAGCTTTGGGAAGAGTATGAAACATTATTCTCCTTTTATTTTTAAACATTGAACCGTTTCTGGAGTTTGGCAATTTACATAGGCTATTTCTATGTAAGTAGCGTAAAGGTAAAGTAAAGGTAAAGTGTTTCTTCTAAATTATACCTTGTGTTCAGGTTTTTATAAATTCCACCAATAAATGCATTTGATAGTTTATAAAAAATTCATAAAAGCAAATCCATAATTTGTATTCAGGACGAACAATTAACATGTACGATTTTAGTTATAAAATGTATCCTTTTCCATTTAAAATGATATTTATTGTGTGTTATATATTGATTCACATAAAAAGTTCATTAAAAGCTTTTCTTGATTTAGCTTTTGCTTTTTTCTCAATATACATACATGCATACGATAAGTAATCCTTTCAATTATTACTATCTGAATGAATTGTTAGTGTCAATAACTATTAACACCAAAAACTAATCTTTTATTCCAACTAAATATAAATAAACATAAACTGCTTAGTATAACCTATGAGAGTAAACCTTCGTACTAATAATAAAAGTTGACTCAGGTCGTATTTCAGAACTAAATTGGCTGAAGTTTATTAATCAAGAAGTGAGCTTGGGCATCCAATTATTATAACAGCGAATACTAATTATACTCAAATTACTTTTTTAATTTAAATAAACCTACTTGGAACTTATTGCAGGATATTAAATCTTCTAGATATAACTTAACTAGATAACTATAAATGCATGGCTACATTACGTGTATACATATGTTGATAGTACCTTAGGGCTCTCGTATAGATTTAAGTGGAGGAGGTTCTCAAATATTGGAAAAGTTTTCCTCACCTGGAAATATAATTTTTTTCAGTGTAGATGGATCTAAAACTTAAAGTGAACTCATTTAATCAACAGTTTAACTCAGTTAATTTCACATAGGTACCAAACGCTACAGGCAAATACATTAAATATAGTATTGATTTTTGCTGCTGGGTTTAGATTGTCTCACTAGATACAACAATGTAATAATCGCACAAGATAAGTGGACGATAGTGATAATACAGACTTTACTACGCTAACAGAAATATTGAAACTTAAGATAGAGAGCTTTCTAGCAAAATAGAGTTGTAAGTATTAAAAGTATTAAAGTATATTGAGTATTATGTGAAAAGAAAAATGTTGGCTGCAAATGAGGTAGTTTCCGAAAGCATTGTTCAATATTTTATTATGTAAGAAAAGAAAACAGAACTTGTCTTTCACTGTCAATCTGGGGGAGACATATTTCTCAGAAGATGAATCTGCCAACGTCTTGACACATGAAGATGGATATTCACAAAACATGTTATTTAAATGTATTGAATATTTTATTAAGAGAAATAGAAGATAAATATTTATCATGTAACGAAAGTAAATCAATGTAACAGGCCAGATGAATAACACAAAAATATGTTTAACGTTTGTTGTTTAATATGTTTGTCTCTGTTAGAATTGCGTTTCGATATATTTGATACGTTTATTTGAGTTGTCGACAAATATTTTTTTTTACAAAAAAAAATTAATAAATGATTCTTTAAAATGTTAGAACAAAACTGGATTTAATAATCATAGAAGAAACAAAATGTAAACATTTTTCACCACACTATGATTTTTTTGGCTGTATTACATACATTAATTGGTGGCTGAAAGTTACGTTTTGCTGGCCATGCCAGCTGTCATCGTAATTTGGGGACCGAGCAGGTTTTTACAGGCCGGGGCCGCAAAATCAGCTGTCCGCTTACTTACTTAAAACATGCAAAATCCATAGCATTGCAATAGAATTGTGTTATTGTCACCGTTGCCTAGCAACTATTTATTTTTATTTTTGCTGATTCCTCAAATTATTTCTTCACGTAACGTTAAAGTTGTAGTTGTGTTGACCATCAGTGTGCATTATTATAGTGGTGAATAGTGGTAATAGAGTATAGTGTGGTGAAAAATAGCGTTCGTACCACGGACCGAAATGGTTTTGCAGCTCTCGATCGATTTAAGTTCTCGACTTCGTCTCGAACTTAAAAACTATCTCGAGCCAGCAAAACCTCATTTTCGGCCCTAGGTACGAAATATACTATAACAGATGTTTTAGATAATTGTTCATATTATAAATTATAAGCCAGGTATAATTGAAAATTACAGTCTTCCCCTCTAAAAAGAGAACAACAGGTAACACAGAACAACAGAAGAACAACAGGAGGAATTGGTCTTGGTGTGGAAAACTCATAACTGATACTTGTGTGGTGTAGGCAATTGGCTTTAGTTGTTTTTTTTCACTGGAGCAGGTGTATAGCTTAATAGCTTACTGGAGTCGTTGAATAGTAGTAGGTTTTGTCTGGAACTGGAGTAGAGTATTCAAAATGAACAGGAGCGGGAGTTAAAAACTGAACAGGAGGGAAATCAACTAGGGGTTTTAGAATTGACGTGGTCGATTTGTAACCGTTGGAAACTGCTGTTGGAGCTGGAATGGAATACTTGTAGCTCACTGTCGGGGTGGAAGGAGTTAAGTACACACTGGGCGGAGGTAAGTATTCATAGCTAACTGCAGGCACTGTTTTTGAATACTTGAGAGTCTTCAGTGGAGTTGGAGTAGAATGTTGAAAGTGGGGTGCAGTAATGTACCGGACTGGTTTCAGTGGTACAATCGGTGTTTTGAGAAATTTCGGCACTACAGGTTTCACAGCTGGGTAAGAGTACTCGTAGCAGACAGCCGAGGCTGGTGGTTTGTAAGTTACTGGTGTCAATGGCATTTCGTAGGTTATTAGTTGATCTGGAACTGCAGAGTAGCCGTAGCTCACAGGTTTGACAGGGGGTGGTGGAGGAGGCAAAGAGCAAGTTACAGCAGGCTTCAATGGTGGAGGAGCTAGGGTGGAAGTGGATAGTTGAGAATCTAAGGGAATTTTCAGTTTTTGCAACCAAATGGATTAATAATGTTATCCACAACAAACAAGTTCAGGTTTGTAAATTTGTTGTTGTACCATACCTCAACTTTGGGGACAACCAGAAGTTTAAAGATTTCACCGGTAACTGTTTTAAGTGTAGTCGCTGTTGGCTGAAGAGTTCTGTTGGGGCAAACTTTTTGAAGGTCTTTGTTATTGATTATAGTTACTGGACTCCCAGTGTCGATTTCAAAGGTAAGCTTACCATTTTCAATGTTCAGTGTTGTCATGAATTTTTCCGTTGGTGAAGTAGTGGACTCAATACGGACAGGAACAATTCTTCTAATATAAAACTCATCATGTTCTATGTATTCTTGAATTATGGTATTTACCTTGCGATGATTTGATTTTGTATTCTAATATGCAAACTTTAGAGATATGACCACGCTTGTGGCATAAACTACGAAATAAGGTGTTAATGTCCCTGTCGCACGATTTTGCCAAGTGGTTACTCTCACCACAACGCACACATAGTCCTGCGATTCCAAGGCGCTCATAAAACTTCTTTTGATTATTTTGACTTTGTTTTGTTGATGTGTTACCGGTATCACAATCATAGTTTTTTGTACAAAAAACTTTTGAAACTTTATTTATCGAATCAGTTCCATGAAATGTTTTGCAACCCTTTTTTGATGCTTCAAGAGTCAGAGCCTGTTCATACGCACCTTCAAACGTCATTTCTGGATGCTGAAGAATCTTTCCACTGATTGTTTCATCTCGTAATCCTCGAATGAATTGTGCACGTAAAAAACAAATCGACCACTGAAGAATCACAAGAAGGGCAGTTGAAATTGCATGTGAATGTAAGTCTTCTTAGTGCAGCTACAAACTCAGATATGGACTCTGTCGGACTTTGAACACGTGGTAGAAAAGTATGTTGTTGCACAAAAACATTGGGGTTTGGACATAAATGTTTTTCAACTATTTTAATCAATTCGTCGTAGCCTTTGTTTGATGGTAGGTCTGGAGATACAAGACTTTCTAGTAGTTGATAATGTTTTGGCCCAATACAATTGATCAATATTCTTGCTTTGATTTGTTGTGTTGTCTTCATCCTCGTTTCCTGTAATGTTTTTCAAATGAAAGTAATTTTCAAGTCGTTGTCTATATGAATTGAAATCTTCAGGATTTTCATCAAATGAATCAAAATTGAATGATGTGATTACGTTCTAGGGTGTTGAAGGTTTTGGATTCTGTGCATGGGTTTGTGTGATTTCATTAAACTTGTTCAAAAGTATAGCCTGTTGTTGAACAAACGTTGATAAAATTGTTGAAAGGTCTTCAGTCATGATAGTATTAGTCCAGGAAAACTAAAGTTAATGTAGCTTTATCCGAGGAAAAATTGCAACAGAAGCTTTTAAATCTTTTTTTTACTAAAAAAATACTGCTTTATAACATATCCAAAATCAGACAAAATCCAACCACGGGAAATCCCCAAAAAATCACTTTCAAAATGGTGGACACTGTGTAAAATACCGCAACTCAAAATATAGTTTAGTATATAATTTTTAGAATTATTTTTTTTTTCAATACTATTTAACATAATATATATTTTCAAAATATTAGAAACTGTGAGTTGGCAACTCTGTTTTAATATGCTGCTTGTATTGCTATTGCAAAACAGCTGTTATTGTTGTTTTTAGTTTATTTATTTTTAGCCCTGTTTCAATTTGTGTTATTGTAAGCAACCATTTTAAAACTTTGTGAGATACAGTTGTGATTCTTTTTTTGTATATTAACTAGTTTGTTATTTTATTAATATGTAGGATAAATTATAATCATGGAAGTTGACAATGACATTGTTGATGTGTGTGTGATATGCAATCAGAAATTATATATTGTAGGAGACAGTGTAAAGCTTTCAGAAAAGGGGGCAAATAGCATAAATGAAGCAAGCAGATTCCGAAAAAGCAATGTATTTGCAGCTTCCGGTGCAAGTGTTCATATATTGTGTCGAAAAACATTTACCGATAAAAAGAATATTGGCATTTTAAAACGGAAGGGTAGATGTGAAGAAGTAAAAAGAAAAAGTGTGCGCTTGATTGACGGCCCGGTTTCAAATACTACTCACTGTTTGTTTTGTGGAATGTTTGTCGACTTCTCATCTAAACATAAGCAGAAGACCGAAAGTGTGAAAGTAAGAACCACACAGTTTGTTGAAGCCATACAAAAAATGCTGTGAACAACGCTGTCATGAATGGTCATTTAATGTACGCGGTAGGTTGGCATACTGCTCAGAAGACCTTTTGTCTGCAGGGCGTGTCTACCATCAATCATGCAGTACCAATTTTCGTAGTTGGAGAAATATTCCCAAAGAATACTGCACTAACAAGATACCTTCAGAAAAAGGGCGGCCAGCTAATGAAGAATAGTACTTTCTTCGTACTTGTGAATTTTTTTAGCAAAATGATGAAGAGCAGATGGTTATTGGGGACCTAATTTCTAAAATGGAAGAATATCTTCAGGGTGGGCAGAGCCGTGCTTATGACCGTAAGTACATGAAGATAAAGCTTTTGGAATACTATGGAGAAAACATTATAATATCTGGTAGTGTAGGGAAATCAGACATAGTAACGTTACGTGATACAGCTAATGGTATTCTTCGAAGTTACCATAAAAATGCATCACATTCTAGTGATATTGAATTGCAGAAAATTCAGTTAATAGAAGCTGCTGCCAAAATAATTAAAAGTGACGTCAAATCACTTACCAATACTAGCGTCGATGAGTACCCATCACCTAATGAACTAACAGTTGAAAATGCATTGAATTTCATTCCTAATACATTAAAATTGTTGTTATCAAAATTGTTTAATGGAAAGGATACGTCAGTGAAAATTGGTTCTGTGGGTCAGTCCATCATGCAATCTATCCGCCCTAGAGCATTACTATGTCCTTTACAAATTGGTCTGTCTGTTCAGCTTCATCATAATTAATTAATCACCTTAATAGATCAAGGTGCCTTATCGACTCTCCACACAATCTTGGATTTTGTTCATCATACGCAGAAGTATCTAGATTTGAAAAAATGCAGCGGTTTCAGGTTCTTGTGTTTCTTTTAATGTTGCTGAAGACACAACCCTTTTGCTAGCAGCAGACAATGTGGATCACAATATTTGTACTTTAGATGGTAAGAATACCTTTCATGGTATGGGCATGATTGCGGCAATTACTCCAAAAATCACGACCTACCCTACTGTGAAAAGGGATAATGTTGGTGATATTGTCATGAAAAACTTGGGCAAAGTTGACATTTTGGAATACAAACATGCTAAAACCATGTTGGGAAACATATTATTCTGTAAACTTCCAATATTACCAAATGCTCCGCTAAATAAACTCAGTCTAATGTGGCAGATCTCGACATCACAAAAACCAGGTCCAAGTTGGTCTGGAGCTATGCAGATAAGGCATTCAAAATCTGACGTTACACACCCAGGGAAATCTTCCATTTCATTTCTTCCTATAATTGATATGACAGCAGGAGACATGAGTTGTATATTTTCTACACTAACATACCTTAACAAATTAGCATACAACCATGATTTTCCATGTGTAGTTACTTTTGATCAGCCCTTGTTTTAGAAAGCTTCTCAAATCATAAACACTCAAAACGAGCTTCAAGACATTACTTTAATGCTTGGAACATTCCATACGCTGATGAATGTATTGGGCGCAATCGGCACTCTTATGAATGGTTCAGGACTATTTGAAATTCTTGATGAAATCTATGGATCGAATACTGTGGTACATATGATAACTGGAAAATCTGTTTCTAGGGCGATAAGAGGACATATGATTGTAGATGCAGCCCTTAGTACCTTAATAGTGTCAGAGGTTTTTCCTCCCAATGAAGATGGAACATCCCAAGAATTTGTCCAGAAAGCTTGTGACATACTCGACGGTATTATGACCGGTCAAAAAACAATAAAGGACATTGAGCAAAGTGATGTGTTATCTTTAATTGACACTGCTTTGGAGACAAAGAAAAATCATTTACAATCCTCCTCGAGAACTAGTAAACTGTGGTTGAAATAGGTATCAGCGTATGATTATGACTGTACGAATGTTGATAGAAGCAGACAGAACTAACTCATGGGATCTACATTTGTATGCTATGCGTGAGATTCTACTGATAGTTGCAGCAGCAGGTCATGTAAATTATCTCAAATCACTTTACTTGTACTTGCAAAACATATTTAATCTTTCGTCTAAAAACGCAAAAGTACACAAATTATAGAGGGAAAATTTGTAATACGGAGAAGTGATCAATTATGGGGTGGACTTGGATCACATCTTGTGATAGAACAAGTGTTGATGCCTTCTCTGAAAAGTAGAGGAGGTCTTACTAGAGGAAGTGGGCTAACAGAAAATCTAAGATCTACATGGTTGTTTTCGATGCCTATCTGTTCAACTTACAACTTGGCTATGCAGGAGTATGCATATGTTATTATGGATGATCCTGATCCTACGCTACGGAATATTGTGACAGGCGTAACAGCTGGCGTAGAAGTACATATTGATGAGTTCCGCCATTATGGTACAAATATTATTTCCAAAATGGTAGGAAACGACGTATTCAGGTATTCTGCTAAAAGGTCAGATAAAGTAACAACTTTGGGATCACCAGCTAGTATTAGTGGTAAAGAAAGTTCTGAACCAGTGATAGACCCAACCCTCCTCTTCCAAAGAATGATGACTGTTGCCACTTATAACCTGGAACCTTATGAACCTGGAAGATGTCATGCGCCATGGACTTTGTGCGTATCCTGCAACACTATTTGAATCTAAAGTTTATATGACACAGTGGTTTTATCAATAATTTATCATTTTCGTAGAGGAAAGAAATTTAATAATGAAATTAGCATCGTCTTCTAGGGGCAGAGTATGTCTAATGGTATGTCGAAATCGAATTCTGGAGCTGAATATATATAATTCTTATTATTCCGTGCAACTATATTGTAAGTGCTTATTATTTTATAAGAAAACATTTTTTGATAAGCTGTACACGGTTTTCAACTATCCATAGTTCTTGTTATACTTAAGAACCATATTATCTATTTGAGCTACAAAAAACCTAGTTCCTGTTGGTGATTTAAAATACTGCCGATCAAGTTTGAAATTCATCCGATTATTGTTATTTAAAGAAAATGTGTGAAAACAATTAATGAAATGTTTTCCATGTCTAAAAAAATAACTCAAATAGGCCTACAACCAAAAGATCGAGATTTTTGGTCAGATTCAGTAAGTTTCACTCAGAGGAGATTATATTTTGTGTCCAAGCCCCAATCGGATTATTTGCCACAGAACTCCCGACTTGTCATTTAGTGCGTTTAGAAGTAAAAAGTAAATACACTAACACATGTTTTTGTGACCATCCTAATTGTAACTTTTGTTTGTTTTATCGTTTTAGAAATTTATTATAATACTTTTATACCTATTTATATATAAATACAAGAATCGTGCGCAAATTGAGCATTTTAATAGGGTTGGAATCTTGTTTCCGAGAAAAACGCATATTACAATTGTCTTTTACTTTTCAAGGCTATGTTTGTCTTAGACAGCTCAGGTGAATACAACTAATAATTACAATAAAATAAATTTAGTTGACACCTACACAATAAAGAGTGACCTACCTCCATCAGTTTAGAGAGTTATCAAATAGAAGTCCATTTAAA